TGGATCAAGCCAGTGGTCCATCCAGTCCAACACTCTGTTTCAAACAGTGGCCAAAAACACCAGGTGCCATCAGGAGGTCCAGCAGTGGGGCCAGGACACTAGAAGCCCTCCCACTGTTGCCCTCCAAGAACCAAGAAGACAGAGCATCACTGCCCCAAACATAAGAACATAAGAGAAGCCAATGATGGATCAGGCCAGTGGCCCATACAGTCCAGCACTCTGTGTCACACAGTGGCCAACAAGACCAGGAGCCACTAGGAGGCCCAGCAGTGAGGCCAGTTGCAGTCCCGGGAAATGGCCAGCTATCAGCAGGAGGTTGGCAAGGCGTCTTGCAGATGTACCCGCCCCTGGTCAGAGCAGCAATTCCTCTGCAGACGGACTGAGAACGAAGCCGCACTCAACCCAGGGAGGGATTCCCTTTTGCATTTGTCATTGCACGGCACTGGCTCCAAATCGGTTTATCATTAGTAGGAACCGGTCTATCATTTCAGACAGAACCGTTTTAGAACCGGTTCCCTACCGGAATATATTTGTAATTTCACACACAAACGCTTCTGTCCCATTTAGGAAATGGGGCTGAAGCATTTTACCTGTCAACCACTTCCAAGTAGTCTTCAGTTTCCTCTCCCGGTTCCGATGCGCTTTTTCATGCTGTTTTTGGCCCGCGCGGGCGATCTCCGGCTTTTAAAAAAAATGTTTGCTTTATATCGTTATAGCGCTATAACGGTATAACAGTATAACGCAACAGCATTATATCAACCCTATTGGAATGCCTGCAGTGTTGTGCTATGGCGCTCTAAAGCGAATGTTCAAAAAAAAAGGCCGCTGATCGCCCGCGCGGGTGAAAAACGGCGGGGGGAAGCGGTGCAGTCTGAAATGGCAAAGTGTTTCAAAGCCCCGCCTTTGCACAGAGCTCAGCGGAGTTTGCAAAGGGCTCCCCACCGGCCGTCCCGTCCCGTCCAATTTGACCCCCCCTCCGCCCCAGCCCCACACACGTTCGGAAGGCTTCCTTTTGCCAGTTCCTGAACAAATGTTGGAGCCCAGCGGGGCACCGCTGGGAGCAACCAAGTTTTATTCATTCGAAGGGAAAGCTTCCGCGTGCAAAACAAACCAAAAAGCTCATACCTTGAATAAAACCTGGTTGCTCTCAAAGGTGCCCCGCTGGACTCCAACGTTTGTTCTGTAGCTTCTGCCAGTGTTCCCTCTGAGCCGAGTTAGTGTGAGCTAGCTCAGTGTTTCTTAGCCTGCGGCTCACACATTTTGGCCTTGGCTCAGGAAGGAGGGCTCCAGGGCAAACGGATGTATGCAGCAGGCACATCGCTCGCTTACAACTTTTATGCCAGGAGCTCACAGGACTCCACAGCTTAGAGGGAGCATTGCTTCTAACCCACACGGCGACCCCACCGGGATCTTTTCCCAGTGGAAACGCGGTTTCCGTTGCGTCCCTTCGCGGCTTCTCTTTTGAACCGTCGGAACTGCAGCGGGGGGAAGCCAAGGGGGAGGGCGGCGGCGGCGGCGGTGCAGAGCTTCTCGGGGGCCCCGGCAGGGAGCCCTCGAGGGACGAGGCGCAAGGCGGCCTTTTGGTGCCAGTTTGGTGTAGTGGTGAAGTGCCGGACTCTAATCTGGGAGAAGCGGGTTTGGTTCCCCACTCCTCCACATGCAGCTGCTGGATGACCTTGGGCAAGCCTTAGCTCTGTCAGAGCTGTTCTTGAAAAAGAGCAATTTTCGGACCTGGACGCCGAAATCCCAGCCCCTGTTGCTGACCACGCCTGGGCTGGCATCCCCCAATCTGTGAGAGGCGTGGAATTGTTGGGTATTACAAGTTGAAAACACTCAGTATATCTGGGGTTAAATGTTTATGTTGCTCACAGG